ATCATTTTTTCCCTCTTGCTTTGATTGACATCATATAGCCACTAATAGCTGAGCCCTACAACTATGAATGTACTTTCCCAGGAGCAAGCCAATAATTGCATTTTACAATATTTGAGAGAAATAACTGAGAAAGCCAAACAGGTGATTTCTTGAGAATTTTCATCAATTTCTTTGTCAATCTGAACATTATGAGTCACTTTCATAGAGAACTTGAGAGAAAAATACTTAGAGATCCAGGGGACACCAATGTTGATTTGCTTGCTATCAGGGTTAAAAGAGAGATTAAGAAATAGCTTCTTGGGGAAATTTCTCTTTCCATCTCTCTGACAAATGAAAGCACTTCTTCTGAATAATACTGAGGGCTTATTTACATTAAACTATCTATAATGATATAATGTGGGCTAAAAAAAAGAAAAAGAAAAAATGTTTCTCATCAAGGATATCGAGTTGATTTCTGAATTCAGTTGAGAAAATTCAGAGGAAGCCTATCAAGGAGAGAGTTATTTGAAATGGGAGGAGGGACAAACTAAGTTGCTGCTACTACTTTATAAGGAGTGCAAGGAATGAGACAAATTCATAGGAAGTTGTTAATGCATGAAACAAATATATTAGTGCAACAAATATGAGCAGCCTAATAAAAAATATAAGTTCAGCAAAATAGCTAGTTGCTGCATTAATGACTTTAGACAGCATTGGGTAAGGATTTGGCTGCTCAAAATATTTCCCTCACTGGCTGTTATCATTTATTTATTTATTTATGGTTATTTCTTTACATGTGCATACATTGTTTGAGTCATTTCTCCACCCTGCCCCCCACCCCCACCTTTGTCCCCCTCCTCTCCTCAGTTTCAGGCAGGTCCCGTTCTGCCCTTATCACTGATTTTGTTGAAGAAAGGACATATGCACAATAAGAAAGACAAAGAGTTTTTGCTAGTTGAGTTAAGGATAGCTATATAGAGAGATTCATACTATTGCTTTCATGTACCTGTGTGTTATGACCCAGGTTGATTTAACTCTAACTGATCTTTACCTTGGTTCCTGATCCCCTGCTCATGATAACCTGTTGTTTTAAGGTTTCTGTATTTGCTCCTCTGGAGTGGGGACATCAAACGCTTTCATGTTATGGGTTTTCTACTTCTTCCTATATCTCCCGTATGTGCTCTCCCCTTGTCATGTGATCCAAGTCCAAACACATTGCTGCATTTGCCCTAGATCTAAAGTCCATAAATGAGGGAGAACATATGATTTTTGATCTTCTGGTCCTGGCTAATCTTGCTCAGAATGATGTTCTCCAGTTCCATCCATTTACCTGCAAATGATTAGATTTCATTTTTCTTCATGGCTGAGTAAAATTCCATTGTGTGACTGTTATCATTTCTGAAATATCACATTTGAAATTCACTCATTTGGGTCTTGTAGATTTCTGTGTTCCAGAAACTCCTGCTAAGTTGTCAATACATACCCACCTTTCTGAGGGAATATTGACAGATATAGCAAATAACACCCAGTTAAATTTGAGTTTCAGATAAACAATGAATATGTTTTTAGTATAAATATTACCCATTGTTTATCCAAAGTTCAAATTTAATTAGATGCCCTGCATTTTTACCAGGCAACTCTACTAGGGAGGGAAATACCCTAAATCAATTAACATCTCAGCAAAAACTAGCTGTTAACTCAGAGCCAAGATACCAGCTGCAGGAAAAGCACCTAGCATGATGACTGTGGGCAGCCTGCTGTCCCTGACTGCAGCTGACTAATTCCATTCTCTTTAGGATACAATTATCCCCTTTGCAAAGGAAAACCCAGAAAAAACCCCACGTCCATGAACATCTGGAACACACCAGACCAAGAAATGAGGCAATCCCCTCACTTTGATCATATCAAAGGAGAAATACCTAACACTGAGGTATGGCAGCACACACTGACCAGACAAGGAACTTCCAACTCTGTCCCTAGGGCTTCAGCTCAGCTTAATCCTCCTGCTTGACATGACCCACTGGAAAAATGATCTGTCAGGATCCACTAAGCTTGGAACCAGATCTGCCTTGAACCAGAATTGTGCCTTGAACTAGCTCTGTATTTGCAATTAGCACTGCACCTCACAAGTCTGTGAATGGGTTCTTTTTTATGTCAATATCTTATCAACCACCTGCAGTGACTCTCTTTGCATCTATGTCAGCATTTTGTCTTGCCTTTCTTTAGCAAGGCTTCATTACAGTTTAACCCTTTCTCAGCAATTCTGTAGTTTCTACATTATCACGAAGTATAATTGACTAATGTCATTTGTAAATTTATTATTATTCAATAAATTTTGACAATGTAGAAAGACATAAGCATGTACATTTACGTTTCTGACATAGCTCGCTCAGGACCAATAGAAAGCTGGCACCACTGCAATGACAAATACTAACATTAATGGAGACCTTACTGCATCATTAGGATGCTTTATCTCATTCCATTGTCATACCTATGAGGTAACCTCTTGCAACAAATGAGAACACAGTGTTGCAGAGGAAGTTAAATAACTTGTTTAAGGCTGTAAGTGCTACAATAGTGATTCAAGCCCATCGTCTTTTCTGATGCTATAGGCCATTCTTGTAACCAGTACACTATATTGTGATATATGTAGTGCTGGGGTTACAAAGATGAGGAACAAATGTGCCCTGTGCTGAAGATATTCAAATTTGAAAGAAGAACATCCACATAGAAGCATATTTAATATAATATGATTTAACATAGATATGAAAAAATATATAATGTATATATTTCTTTATAATGTTTTTGCAATAAATAAATAAAGAAAAATCTGTGTAAATGCTATGGAAACATTGAGGGTAGAGTAAATAATTTTGCCTGAGGCAGGGAAAAGGGTTATGGGAAGATGAAAGAATGAATTACAAATAATAGGATTTTCTTGTGAAAGTTTTCATCTGCATCTTCTGACCCTGACTTAAAATTATACATCAATTTTTTTGTTTGTTTTGCTTAAAAAAGATTAATTGTCATTCACAGTTTCTGTGCATCAGTGATTTAGGTGGAGTTACAAGTAGATGATAGCTGGAACAGAAAACTGAAGCAGCTAGGGCATCTGTCACTTTTCATATGGTCTTAGGATTTCTCCATATGGTGAAAGGCAGACTGCAGGAGGTCCCAAAAGGTAAGAATTATCCAGGGAGACACTTCTCCTTCCCAGGAAACATCTGTTTACACCAAAGAGACATCTCCACCCTTAGGCAATAAAAAAAGGCTATAAAAACCCAATTTCCAAACAGACCCACAGGACACCCGGATTCTGGGTCCTGCTGCATGCCCCCATGCAGCCTTTCTCTTCTCTACAAATAAAATCTTTCTGACCTCTGCTGCTTGAGTCTGCCTCTCTTTCAATCTCAGAGCAGACCCAAGGACCCTCAATAGTTGAAAATTCCTGCATGTAATCTGTGTATCATCTGACAACTTACAAAGGGACACTTTTTCACCCAAGGTTGGTACAGGTTGCACCAAACTGGAGGGGACTGCCTAGGAAGTGGTTGTGATCATCTGGCACTCTGAAGGAGTCTGTCCTCCAGGAGAGCCCCACCCCCCAACCATGGCTTAGCTACAGTGGATCTCTCAGGCCAACTTTCTCTCTCTCCTTGCTAAGGAGGGTTTCTCCCTAAGGAACCTGGGGAAAAAACTCTGAGCCCTCTACAGCTGTCAAGACAGGCTACCTTAGAAATCAGGGGCTGGCGGGGTTTATACCAGACTTCTAATACTATGGAGGCAGAGCTAAAACCTCAGTGCACCGAGGCTTTTTTCCTCTCAACTCTTGGCTCTCTCCCTCCTTAAACTCTCTTCCTTTCAGATCTGACCCACTAAAGTGGAGGTCCGAAAACAGTCAGTTGAAAGGAAAGTTTTTCTTCAAGCTATAATGGTACTCTGGCTGGGGCAAATTCCTGGTGAGACTGGAAGGCTGAAGATGTAACTTCCTGACCTGCTCTGAGACTCCAAAGGTGGTTAAGTATCAGAACCCCTCCAAGCATGTCTGTGGCAAGCAGACAATCAGATCTCTACACTTTCTTCACAGTTCCCATGGCCCGAGAGTGGAGATCACCCCTCACTTCCAGTGCTCCAGTATTACCTCTGGTGGAATCGATCTGGATAGCAGTGATGACCAATAATCCCTCATGTGTTGAGCCTGGAAACTCTCTTTCCCCCAATCCTCAGCTTCTCCTTTCTCTTTCCCAAGTAAATCAGGATGAGTGGCCTCCCTCTTTGTCCTAAACAGTAGTGGGCTTCCTTCTTCAGCTGAGTCTGGGAGGAATTCCTGCATCCCCTGTTCAAAACCTAATTCTTAGACCATGTTTCTGCACTGTCTTCTGCAGCCCCCATTTCAGTTGAGTACTCCAAAAACTACTACTCTCTAACTTGAGCTTAACTGTTTTTGTTAGGCATCTGGTTGATCTGCTTAAGCAGGTTCTGTAGTCTGCCCTCAGGGGAGTAAAGAGTTAAGGGTATAGAGACCTGATGGTCTTCTCTATTTTTGTCCATTACTGCAGCAAAAAACAGTGCCTTCAGATGCTCCCTCTCTTTTCATAAAAAATATATGTTTCACAGGATATATAGGGGGGAAAAAGTCTACCTCATCAAGAGTCCTTGTCCATGCCTCCACAGTGGTCCTCCCTTTGGCCATGTAATCCCTCTTGGTTACTTTAGAGCCCCTCACTGATAGAGTTGTTTTTAAATTACAAGCCTTCAGCTGGTAGAGGAGAACCAGGTTCCTGGATTACAAAGCAAATAGGCAAAAAAAAATTGATCAGTGTTATTCTGGCAGGGTGGCTATAGCTGGATGTACCTAAATATCTTCCCCATGACCTTAGCACCAGATGGCAGTAGTGGGAGAGCACGGGAGAGAGGGATGCCCTCTCCCAAGTAGAGGATCTCCTAACCTGGGAATGCCTAGGTAAAAGGAGAAAACCTCTATTAAGATGATCAATTTTGCCCTTTCTGGTGGTGAGAAAATGTCTCTTGCAAAAGATCTTCTTCATCCCTCACCAGAGGAGGAGAAGAGGAAACACAAGAAGTGCTTGGTGCAAAGCCCCAATTCCTACTTCATGGATATGAAGTGCCCAAGATGCTATAAAATCACCACCATTTTTAGCTATGCACAAATGATAGTTTTGTGTGTTGGTTGCTCCACTGTTCTCTGCCAGCCCACAGGAGGAAAAACAAGGCTTACAGAAGGATGTTCCATCAGAAGGAAGCAGCATTGAAAGCACCCTGAAATCAAATCCATCCCAATAAGCACATTTTGGATAAAAAATAAATGATCCATTTTCCCTTGCTTCCCTTTTCAGATAGGGAATCAATCTTCCAGGATCCCAGAAGGATCCCCCCCTTGCCTGCTTACAAAACATTGAAAGATCTTGAACCAGAAAGTCTTCAATGAAAGTGACTCAAGTTTTGCTGCACCCATGCCTGGCCACAGTATCCTCTGGCAAATGGGGAAAAGTGGCCAGAAGGAGGGAACATTAATTATAATACCACTCTTCAATTAGATATGTTCTGTAAAAAGGAGGGAAAGTGGACTGAAGTCCCATATATTCAACTTTTCTTTTTCCTAAGAGCCCACCCAGAATGGCTGAGCAAATGCAGGCTAGATACCCAGATCACGGTGACCCTTTATGAAAAGCTCCTAAACTCCCTTGAGGAACCAGAATCCCAAAATACCATCTTATGCCCAAGGGCCCTCAACAATGTCAAAGGGGGCCTCCCCCATGACAGAAATAAAATCTTACTTCTCTGGAGAAACAATGAGTGCTAAATGAGACAGCAAAAGCTAGGGACAATTATCACTTAGATAAATGTGGCCCTACAGGCCTGTCTCAGACCAGGCCCTTAGAGGAGGAGGAGGGGGCGGGGGAAGAAAGACAGAGACACTGGATACCTAAAAGGGAATTCCAATTCCCAATTTCCACAGGAGATTAGGCAATGCTTAGATATGATCCTAAGTGGGACCCTAAAAATGATGGATGAATGGACCTGTAACCACTTCATCCATTGCATTCTTGAGGGTCAAAGGAGAGCCAAGATAAAACCCCTTAATTACTCCCAAGTCATGGCTGTACAGCAAGGACCCTTAAAAACCCCAGTAGCTTTCCTACAGAGACTTAAAGATGCTTTACAAAGGCACACCAACTTTGTACCAGAGTCACAGAAGGAGATTGTCCCAAAAGAAATTTCTAACAAAGTCAGCCTCAGATATTTGTAGAAAGCTTCAGAAACCAGTGGCTGAAGGGAGCAGAGATCTAGACCAATTGGTCCATGTAGCCACATCCATACATTATAATAGGGACTTAGAAAAAGAAAAAAAGGACCTGGAGAGGGAAAAAAAAGGATAAACAGCAGGAGGCAGTGATTGCAGTGCTCAGAGAGGCTCTCTCGGGGCAGAGTCCAAACCCAAGGACATGTTTTCAATGTGGACAGGCAGGCTGGAAGTCAAACTCATAAAATCTTTTAAAAAAAGTATGAGACCTTTTTAAAGTAAAAATAGAAAAAGAAGTCAGACTGCTAAATTCTGAGACAACTGAAATTTTGATTAAAGGAAAGTTTTCTTTCTTTTAGTTGCACTTTTTTTTATTGTTTTATTATTCATATGTGCATACAAGGCTTGGGTCATTTCTCCCCCCTGCCCTCACCCCCTCCCTTACCACCCACTCCACCCCCTCCCTCTTCCCCCCACCCCCTCAATACCCAGCATAAACTATTTTGCCCTTATCTCTAATTTTGTTGAAGAGAGAGTATAGGCGATAATAGGAAGGAACAAGTGTTCCTGGTTGAGATAAGGATAACTATACAGGGAGTTGACTCACATTAATTTCCTGTACGTGTGTGTTGCCTTCTAGGTTAATTCTTTTTGATCCAACCTTTTGTCTAGTTCCTGGTCCCCTTTTCCTATTGGCCTCAGTTGCTTTTAAGGTATCTGCTTTAGTTTCTCTGTGTTAAGGGCAACAAATGCTAGCTAATTTTTTAGGTGTCTTACCTATCCTCACCCCTCCCTTGTGTGCTCTCGCTTTTATCATGTGCTCAAAGACCAATCCCCTTGTTGTGTTTGCCCTTGATCTAATGTCCGCATATGAGGGAGAACATACGATTTTTGGTCTTTTGGGCCAGGCTAACCTCACTCAGAATGATGTTCTCCACACCACACTTAATGCTAAACTGTAGGCCTAAGGTATTCCATAGCTGATTTTTTTTTCAGTATTGGGGCTTGAACGCAGGGCCTCATGCTTGCTAGGCAGGCACTGTACCTTGAGCCACTCCTCCAGTTCTCAGAACTGATTTTGGTTAACAATCTTAATAAGAAAAACCACAGTTATCAGTGAGCAGTTCCAACACCATGGTCTTTCTTGTGTCCTCTACACATTTTGTTACCTTCCTTGAACTCAGGCAAAATTCTCCCTGGGGGTTACTCAGACTTGAAATTTTTGAGATTTTCAATAGCTTATACTGACGCAAAACTGAGCTGCTCCTGTCTTCACATACCACCAAACAAAGCTGATGCAGATACCCATAGTTCTTCCATTGCAGATATGGCTAGCATCTGGAGTTGCAGATGAAGGACAGACTGGAGGAACTGAAAAACCAAATAAACCAAAGAAGAGACTCTTCAGATTTGGATGACACCTTGATCTTTGACAACCCTGCTTTCCAGGAAAGTGAAACTAACTCTACAGAGAAGTTTCTCCAGGAAGTGGCTGAGCTGTCCCTGGGACTGACAGAGCTAGAAGTGCTAGCTGAGTTAATAGACAAAAAGCAGCAAGATGTGCTGTGCTGCACCAATGAGGAGAGTGTGTTCAGGGAGAAGAATTATTTGAATATTATAAAAACCTCTTTTGGCAGGCAAGCCCAGCTCATTCAGCCCCAGATAAACACCATGCAGCATGAGCTGGCCACAAACTGTAAGTACTGGTGGGTTGAGCACCGAATCCATCAGAACCAACTCTCTGTCTTCCTCAGTTGTTAACTGTGGCATCATCAGCTACCACTAGCCTGCAAGGTTCAGTACATGGTCAGGCTGAAGGAGAAGATGATGAGGCAGGCTGAACTAACCAGCCTGAAGTTCCAGGAAGAGGATCTGGAGAAACTGGTGGCTAGTCCTCTGGCTCCTTAAATTACGGGTCATGATCTAGATGTTTTGAAGGCTAAACTGGAGCTGGCTTTGACCCAAGTACTCTAGCAGGGAGGAAGATTAAAAAAAAAAAAGAAAACAGACTAGGCCTGAATCTTGAGAAAGCAGCAGGGAGGTGGGATGGCATAGCAGAAAGATAAAACCTAAGAAATCTGAACATGAGGAAGATCATGTAGCACCAGGGAGGGGAAAGTCATGTAGCACTAGGATAAAGTAGCCAATAAAATTAAATATAACCATATATGGATTAGACCTTTCTTTTTGCTTCTGTAACCTCCTTGCAAGGGTATATAAGGGGAGACCCCTTTGTTCTCGGGGCTCAGCCTTTGGATATGAGTCCACTGGGTCTGTGCTGGCACAATAAAATGTTGCTTCCTGCTAATCTGCCTCAGAGTCATGTATCTTAGCTAGCAACCTCCCCCAACAGTATGTTGCTAGCCGCTGCTGCACGTGAAACGTCAGATAAGTGAGTTGCATACCATTTTCTTTCAACTGGAGATGTTCATCTTGAGCAACAACAGTTGGTGGAGAGCACTAAATACAGCATTTTGTGTACCCAAGACTATGTTGAGCAGTCAAATAAGACAGTGAAGAAAGCCCTTAAATATAAGCACCAATCACATATTTTGATGGTGGCATCAGCTGTGGCAGGATTTTGTGCCTGCTGTACATGCTTGTTCTGTATGACCAACACCCTTCATTGAGTAGGAAGTGGACCCTTTGGTGGTGTGAGCAACAGCTGAAGAACAAAACCATTATTTGCTCTGTTTTGGTGCATGAACTCAAGGACAGATTTAAAAATGAGTGCCAACACCTAGCCTGCCAAATCTAATGTGACTTGTCTGTTTCCTCTGATGTAGTCATACAGTAAATCTGTTGTTCTGTTGTGCGTATTGTTTTGGTATGTGTTACTTAAAAAAACATGCAACTTTGGCACATATACTGAGGCTCAGAAGTCAGTGTTTTCTTCTTCCTTTTTTAGCTGCTTGTTTTAGGTCCCAGAATTAAACATTTTCCTTTTGTTTTCTACTATTAGAACATCATTAGTGCTTTATAAAATATATATGCTCCTTTCTAAGGGAGTGGCAAACAGATGAACATGGCATGTCACATAAAGACTTTAGGACCTCTGGGCAGTCGGTAGGATAGAGACTGCAAAGACTGATTAAATGAGATGTCAAGATGATGGAGGGGATGAATTCAACTATGATACATTGTAAGAACTTTTGTAAATGTCACAATGTACCCTCAATGTACAACAATAATATAATAAAAAAGTAAATAAATAAATGAAAAAAAAACCTGTTGAGAGACTAAAGGAGAAAGGGCTGAATACTGAGGAAAAATTGTGGGAAGACAAAGGGCAAATTTATTTGAGGGTTCTGTGTAAAGATAAGGAAAGAGGGACACTATCTACAGGAATAAAGCTTAGTGTAGGGGTCATGTGCTACCCTAGGCTCAGCTGCCTTCGTGTTATTCTTTTTCTAGTGAGAAAAATCTTCCATTGAGCCTTTTCTGAAGGTTATCTGGTACTAATTAGTAAAAAAGTCACAGGTTGGTGATATATATGGAGGCAGAAAACCAAGGAAGTTCATGGATAGAGGAGTTTCCTTGATGTATATCAAAGTGGGCCCTGTTCAGGAGACCAGGACTTGAGATGCTCTTTATGGAGAATCTTATACTTCTCTGAGTGACCATAGTGAGTTTTAGGAATACTTAGCCTCAGTGACTTATGAGGAACTTGAAGCCATGCACAATTTGTGGACAAGCACAAGAGCCCTTTCTATTATCTGTTGTAGAGGAGGAATCTTCACACACTGAAAATGGGTGATTTCATTTTCCTAAGGAAGGGTTTTTATACAGCTGTTTCTAAAGAGAATATACATTTGTATATTTGCATCTTCCTGTTTCAAAAGCTTTAATACCTTTAATCTAAAGTTCCCTTTCTTTGAATTCTTGCTTTTTTTCTTTTGGTACCAACTGGGATACTGTTGTCATCAGTGTTTTCATTGGTTTACTAGCTGTAACTCATGTCCTTCAAAGAAACTCATCTCAAAGGACAAGGTTCTGATCAAATTAGAA